CAAATCTCCCCTGACTCCAAAAAATGCTAGTTGCTCTAGGTTGAGTTCCCCATTAGCTGTGTCAAAAGCAGCTTGGAGGTCAAGAAAGGCTAAGTGAGTGTTTGGCTCCTGTTTGATGAAGTACTCAGCAAAGCAAGATTGTTTGTGTACTTCTCCTAGAGAGAAAGCCATGCAAGTTAGAAGTAAGCTGACTTTTGATTTTCAACATTAGCCTACTGAGAACAAGCCTCTCAAGGACCTTGTACGTGGAAGAAGTTAAAGATATCGGCCTAAATTTATTCAATGTTTGACTTAGGTACAGGGATTATGAGGCTCTTCGTCCAACGATCTGGTAGGACACCTTGGCGTAGACTTTGTCTGTACAGTTCTAGCAGCGGACTGTTAGGTATGTCGGCGAGAAGCCTCGTGGTACTGTCCGTTATGACATCGTCTCCAGGAGAAGTTACTCTGCTCTTCTCAAGTGCAGTTTCAAGCTCAAATAGAGAAATGTCATAAGTATCATCTGGACCCGTTTTATTACAGCCAATTTCAATATTAAAACCCCTATTAAAATTAGTATAGCAAGATGTTGTATATTTTGGAGCAGTGGTCTGAAAGGATGTTACGGTTTCAATAATAGTCTACATAAAATTGATAATTGAACCTTTATCGTATAGATTATTCTCAAGCTATAATTTTAATGTTATAGAAATTGTTAGTCTAAAATCTAAAAAGTGCGCTGAAAATATTTCCTTTGAGAAATTTTGTTTTCTGTAAACAGAATTCGAGGGCACACTGAAATAGTTTTCGAATTCTATATTTCACATTATCGTCAATAATACATATTATTAACGTAACCAAACGTAATGAAATCCAATCTAACCTAACCAAACCTTAACTTAACCTACCATGGGCAGAGAGTAGATAATAGCACAAATTATGTAGTCGTCCCCAATCTCTTCCCTTGAGCGGACACCCTGCAAAGTCGTTCTTGACCCAAGGTTATCATTGATATAAAACCCTAGCAGCGCGGAGCTCTTAAAATGTGTAAAAAATGCAAACTAAGCTGCGATGATCGAGGAAACATACACAGGTTTCGTAAGCGGTCACTTAAGTGCTTAGTGAATTCCACAATAACACAAGAATAACACTGGAACAAAGATGCGAATTACAATATTATTATACCCCAAGAGTGACCTACTGCAGGATAGGCGAACCACAAACAACGGAGACGGAGACGATTTGGTAAATTTCGTGCACCTAATACCTCTATTCATCCATCACAAAATAGACTCCCCCGGAATTAGACAATTGGGAGAGGACAGCCGCTAGTTTAGAGGGACTTCTATAAACGTATCCGATGCTGGGCGAGAAGACGTCCCCACCCTCTGGAAGACATCCTACTGAGTGAGACAGGTGGGAGAAGACGTCCCCACCCTCTGGAAGACATCCTTCTGAGTGAGACAGGTGGGAGAAGACGTCCCCACCCTCTGGAAGACATCCTACTGAGTGAAACAGGTGGGAGAAGACGTCCCCACCCTCTGGAAGACATCCTACTGAGTGAGACAGGTGGGAGAAGACGTCCCCACCCTCTGGAAGACATCCTACTGAGTGAAACAGGTGGGAGAAGACGTCCCCACCCTCTGGAAGACATCCTACTGAGTGAGACAGGTGGGAGAAGACGTCCCCACCCTCTGGAAGACATCCTACTGAGTGAGGCAGGTGGGAGAAGACGTCCCCACCCTCTGGAAGACATCCTACTGAGTGAGGCAGGTGGGAGAAGACGTCCCCACCCTCTGGAAGACATCCTACTGAGTGAGGCAGGTGGGAGAAGACGTCCCCACCCTCTGGAAGACATCCTACTGACTTGAGTATAAATATAGGTGAGTGTAGCGACGCCTCACAACGTGTCCACACACTTATCACCAGTCTATAAATATTGCTGGAGTGATAGGGTGGGAGGAGCCGGGTGGGAGGGGCTGGGTAGTAGTCGGTGGGAGGGGGGTGGGTGAGATGGAGGGAAGCAGAGAGAGAGAGAGAGAGAGAAAGAGACAGACGGTCACAGAAGCAATTGGCAGATGGAAGGGTATGACGGGCCTGAGGAAAGGGCAGATGGAAGTGACAGACGCAAGGGAGTGACGGACAGACGGGAGGGAGTAATGGATAGAAGGGAGGGAAAGACGAAAGGAGTGATGAACACAAGGAAGGGACAGACTGATGGGACGGGGGGGGGGGGGGAGTCAGGAGGAAGGCACAGACGAAATAGAGGGACACACGCAAAGGAGAAATCTATTTTTCAACCAAGAGCGAGAGAGCGTGCGTGTGTGAGTGGGCGTAAGGCAGGCAGCAGACACACACCATGTGAGGGTAGTAGCATTGAAAGGCTTAAGTGGCCAGACTGGCGAGTGTGTCAAGGGCTCGCGCATGCACGCACGCACACCCCGATGACAAATCCTTTATACAAATAACAATACTCACATGCACATTGTATATATATTTGTTCTATATATATAATTTCTCTCTCTCTCTCATATAATATATATATATATATATATATATATATATATATATATATATATATATATATATATATATATATATATAAAAGGCTATTTCCATCCCCCCGCCGGCACTCGGTTGGTAATCTTGGGCATGGTATTTTATTAAATCACCTCATTCTTTGGGGGGAACACAAATAGTGCTCAGTTTTCAACGGAAAACTGAGCACCATGCACCTTAGCGTATCTAGTACTTTAACCGCTAGACCAGAACTAACTGTACACAAGTGTTGGAAGTCGTGAGATTTTTATCCAACTTTATATTTTTTAGTTACTGCGCCATCTGCTGCTGTTTCTTTGTTAGAAAATTTGATTAGACATGGCTGCAGCGTTGTTTCTGAGAGACGAAGCATCCATTAATTTTTTTTTTTACTGACGTGGCTGAAAAAGTCTTTTCACGCAAACAGGAAGTCAAAAAATATTGCCAACAATTTGGTAGCTTCATAACTCACGAGATGGATATTCCTTTTCGAGTGATGTCCACAATTGAGACAATGATTGCATTTTATGTTTGGACGTCAGAGTGACGTCACAAGATACACGATCAGTTTTTCTTCTTCACGAGGATCAGGAGCGCATGGTTTTATATCTTCCAGGAAGGGATTATTAACCCAGAGATTATCTTTACGAGGATCCTCATTTTCGGGGAAATAATTGTTCAACTTTTCAGCTAACGCCCTTAAATGTTGACTTATTATGTTAAATATGACTTTCTGGTCCACATCACCAGCAATCAAAAAATCTCTCAAAAGTGGAAATATTTCTATATCTCCCTCTTGTACGCGACTATCCCAAAGAGCTAGTTTTTGAACGCATTAATTATATTTCTTAGTGTACAAATATTTCTACAAGACCCGTTAAGAGAAATATTAAGTTCGTCAAGACGGCTAAATATGTCCTCCATATACGCAAGCCTAGCCATCCATTCCTCAGTCAACATTTTTTATTTTTTATTTTTTTATTAATACATGAGGTATATCTGCATTTGTGCAGCTACCCTAGACTATATGAAGTGGAGTACAGTGTGTCAAAAAAGCTAACTACGTGATGCTAAAAAATCCCCATCACACAGGATAGGTTAGTCATACAGAGGCATGTGATAGACAGTCTGCACTGACAGACTCCGGATGCATTTTGAGGATATCATCAACACAAGAGTGAATAAGGCAGCAGTGGTAATAAAAGTCCCCATCTCGCAGGATGGTTAGTCATACAGGGCCATATGTTTAGTAGCCTACACTGGCAAATTTTGGGTGCAATATGAGGATATCCTCAAGAATACGAGAGTGACTAAAGTAATTGCAAAACTCCAGGTACCTCATGCCAACTGGTCTGAAAGGTCTAATAACTGGGCATTCGGTGATGTAATGTGGGAGATCATGCCGTAGTTCCTGCTCACAGCGTTTGCAACTGGAGTGCTCAGGATTGGGAGACCCGTCACCTGTAGCCACCTGCCACAGGTAACGGTAACCCAACCTGATCCTGGCAACCACTGTGTCGCACAGTCTGATGGACGTTTTGTGCTGCCCATAGATATAGGTTTGAGATCTGAACAAATCATAGCTTTTAATACTAGTACTTTCAAGTCGTTGGGAGTCAGTAAGTTCTTTCCTATCAAACCTGAGTGTTTGAACCAATTCAGTTTTGACAGTAGAGATGGGGATACCTAGATCTAATTCAACTTCATCTTTGTTGCACGCTAATTTGGCTGCACTGTCTGTCTCATTATGATGGGTTATATTTATGTGTGAAGGTATCCATATAAAAGAGATTCGAGACCCTTTACTCTGTGCAGCAATTAGCTCAGTCAACAAAGGTTCTACTAGATCAGAGTCATGCAGAAACTGCTTTACTTCTTCCCTTAGTTGGAAAAGGCGTGCAAGAACCCTTCCTCTCGTTAACGACCTCACTTGTGCATGGAGATGTTAGTAGTGAGTCCATACTCCCGGTGTGGTGAGAGCATCACTACACCGCAACAATGTGGCGCCAGAACCATGTAGCGGAATCTTATGATTCCGGCGAAAGTTTTTGCGGACTAACAGGAAAGGGCGGTGGATTCTAACTCTAATCAATGATTCTAGCACGAATCTTCTCTATTTTTCTCATGTTTTTCTTTCTTTATCTCGTTAACATTATTAAAGTTCAAGTATGTTTATTGAGACAAGAAAGAAATACATCTCAAAGGAATAGAGTAGCTTAGGCTATTTCTACCCCCCCCCCTTAACAACAACAAGGCAGAATTTTAATGGTTTCAAGATGTTTATCAGCCGGATATATGTATATATTTTGTATACTTAGGCAGCAGGCCAGCAGGCCTTCCTGTAAACATATTTGGTTAAATATGACCGCATTACTGGTGGTGTTGATCTTATAGTGTAAGGTTTCTATACTTCTATTTTCTTACTATCAGTAGTACTAATAAGAACAATCACGTTAACAAACTTTATGGTAAAGAAAATCTAGTAATTATTGAAGGATTTATTTTCTACAACGTTTCGTTCCACTCTGAAACATCTTCAGGTAAAGAATGAATACATGAGATTGATGAAGATTAAGCCACCCAAGAGGTGGCACGGGCATGAATAGTCCGTGTTAAATTATCCCGCAATTTAACCAAAATTGGTTAAATATTCGCGAAAGAGTCGAAGAAGTAAGGGGGCCGAGGTGATGGGGGCAAATAAACAAGGTAAGGAGGTAGGGCCGATCAATCATTGGGTAAAACACAGGTACAGTTGGGTGGGTGTAGAGAAGTCATTATCTGGTGATGTTTGGCGAGACCTAGATCACAGTGTTGGCACAGAAGCAAAGTCGTTATTCTGTATATTTAAGAAGGGGTCTTTTCTTATAAGCATAGCTTCCAGGATTTGTAATCTTATTTGGTCAGTGGTAGATTCCAGGAAGTTTGTATTATCTACTAGCACCTTCCTAGTCAGTGTCGTGTTATGTTCACTTTGCGTATGTTTACTGGAGGCTCCTGATTGTAGATGGCAGGTCAGTCTTCTCAAAAGCTTTGTGGTGGTCATTCCAATATAGGTAGATCGAAGGTGAGATCCTTCACTGTGGCGTGTGAAGTGGTATACCACGTTTGCTTTTTGGAGAGGGTTGTATTGTTCATTATGGCTGTTCTTGAGTATCAAAGCTGCAGTTCTTTTTGTTTGGTAGTAGATAATGAAGTCCAAATCTTGGTCTGGGGCTGTGGGTTTCACTCTATTTTGAATTATATTTCTTTATGATTCCTTCTGGTTTATACTTTGAACTCATCGTGGATTTGTAATTGAGTTTTATGGGACGGGTTTATTACTGTTGTATTTATTGTTCTCTGTTGTACCCATTAATCTAAATATCTCCTGATATGGTTACTGACTTCTCTAATTCATTAATGAACCCATTGTTCATTAATACTTGAAGGTTCCTGTGCAATTCTTTATGCATGTTATGCCAATCAGAAATATAAGTGAGGGCTCTGCATATATATATACGAGTTTATCACACTAGTTTTATATCTGGGCATTCTTAGTGACCATTTACACACCATCCAGTGCTGGTGGGTTTAGTATGAACTTGTCTGGTGAAAGTTTGTCTTTGATTCGCGCAGACATCGAGGAAAGGGAGTGTACCATCAATGACTAGTTCATGAGTAAAGTTAAGCACTGAGTTTTGGGTAAGTACATCCTTTAATAATATTAACAATTCCTGGAGGTCTTTCTAAACAGGAGAATGGGTTGTGTGATAGTACTTTTGTAACAATGGGGACCATCCTACAGATATTGATGTAATGGACAGTTAGATCCAGAACAAAAAATAAAAACCATACTTAAATATTCCAAAGCTTAGTATAGCACATATATGCATTATATTATAGCTCATACAGCTGCTTAGAAATGTTAAATTAGGTTTTATTAGCAGCATTAATACAAAACCTTATCCGGTTTGTCCAAATTGAATAGTACCAAATTCTACTTTCTAATTGTTGATTACGAAATATATGTACGATAGTATGAGTACTATCTAAACAGGAGGATGGTTTGCTTTCACACATCGATGTACCTACAGTAGAAGCAAGGTTTCCCTTGTGGTTTTGAAGATGATGTCTTCTAGTATTCCCATACAGAAGTTAGCAAAGAGGACTCCTAGTGGGACCCCCGTGGCTACTCCGTCTATCTGGGTATACATGTCTCCCCAAGTGGTTGTGAATGGGGCCATTTTGGTGCAAATCTCCAGGAGATTACGGGGGTGCAGCTTTGGCGTAGAAATGTCACAGTAGATTCTGTCTAACATTAAATTGATGGTGATGTCCTCTGGAACGTTTGTAAACTAGACAGAATCTGTTGAGCGACAAAAAATCATTCCAAAACGAAGTCGACTCTGTAGCAACACTGCAGACCAGACATGACGGAGCGGATATCGAAACTTGGAAAATACTGAAAATTTGGAGGATACCGATCAAAACAACGTCTTTAAAAGGCCAGATGTAACACAAGCAAGGAGCAACGGTTTAAAGCTAAACAAGCCACAATGTAGGAGGACAGCAAATGGAGAAACATTTTCACACACAAGATTATAAACTCAAGGGCACCACCTACCCACAGAAGTCGCAAATGCAATGCAAAAAAAAAAAAGCTGAAATTCAAGATCAAGCTCAATAAAATCATAAGAACAAATATGGGGGGACGTTTGACAAGCTACCGGCTTCCTGTCATCGTTGAGGCCACTAGTAAGATAGTAGCCCCCAGGTAAAATTCAGGTAAATAACTAGAAGCTGCAGTTAAGACAAGAACCTGCAGCTGTAACAAGAGCCTGCAGCTGTATCACGAACCTGCAGCTGTAACAAGAACCTGCAGCTGTAGCAAGAACCTGCAGCTGTAACACGAACCTGCCACTATGATAACCTGCAGCTCTACTTCACAGCAACTCCCTTCAGATTGGGTCGTTCAAGATCGAAGAGGAAGCTGGGAACAGGAGCGTAGTACTTGTGAGCATCCACGGAGGAGAAGCCAGCTCTCTGGATGTTGGGCAGCATGTCACGGTTGAGACAGCAGCCGTCGAAGATGAAGGGCCACACCCTCAACCATGTGAAGACGTCTTGCAGCCGCCTCCTCAGACTGTGCCTCTCCAGATCAAATTCTGCGATGTGCTCCATGAAGTAGAACTTGCCGCCCTGCAGATAATAATAATAAGAGACAGATGACAAGGAATGGGTATCTGTGGAGCATCTCTTATTATAATTGCAGTTGTTGATAGCCTCTTAGCTCAAGCTACTGTCCGTTCTCAGGATGCAACCCATGACAGTTGCCTAGCTACGAGGTACTTATTTAGTGCTATGAAACATGCCCAACTTGTTTTTGTCCTGCGCTGGGATCGAACCTCAAATCCTCAGTTGGGAGTCGAGACGTAAAGTATTGTACTACAGGACTCTATCTGTAACATCGTGATGAACAAAAAGTTATAGGGTGACATCTCTGTTATGGTTCTGGCAGAACATTTGTTACGACACCAACAGGCCCGGATCTAACTGTTTTTGGCCGACCCCCCCCCCTCCTTCAGGCCAAAACGGCTAAATGGGCCCCACCCTCTGGTCAGTGAGGCTGTTCAATAACTGAACCCACACTTGTAGACAGCTCATATCATAGTAATATGTAATGATTAATAACCAGTTATGTTAAACTTAGTTTTGCAGAAGAATACATTGAGGCCATATTCCTATACTTTTATAAGTTTCAATTCCTTTTTGTCCAGAAAATAACTATATACATAAAAAGTAAAAAATCATGACGGCTTTAAATAAAATATTAGTACGTATTGAAATATTTCACACAATATTTATCATACTTACATTATACATAATGCATACTTTTCCATCCAAATACTTAGTGGCCAGGAGTTATACAAGTTCTAATTCCTTCATCCAGAAAATAACATACGATGTTATATATACATACAGAACATAAATACACAAAAGTAATCAAATCTACTTAAAAAAAACACTAATACTTACTGAAATAATTAACACATTCACTGCATAAAAACTTTGACACACCAGTGATTACTAAATATGAAGGTGGCACTTAGTTTAAAGAAAAGTAATACAAAATTAATTACAGGAAAGTATTTTCAATATATATGTACAAAAATGTTAGTATTAAGTAAGCACAACCCCCACATACACAGCTCAAACATATACTGAACTGACTGAAAATACCATAAAAAAGTACTTGACCAATTGGGTAGTGAAGCTCTGGACACCAGCATTGCATCCGGAGCTTGCAAAGACATTCATAATTGCAACTTCAGCCCTGCAAGCATTATGCTCTATCTTGCATGGGTTAATCATTCATTAAGGTGTCCAATAAATGAATATAAATGGAAATACTGTTGTTAAAAATAAAGTTAGCAGAATTAAATAAGGGTTTTATTTATGTTACAGACATGTAGAAAACAACACAGTACACTTAAATAATTGGCCAAACACATTTTAATATAGTTCTGTATTTATTTTAAAGATTACCAGAAAAAATAAAAACATCTCAAACTTCCAATACACTTTCAACATTTACAAATCAAAGACACGTGCATTTTATAAAAAAACATAAGTTACTAAACATTTATCAATGATGAAAGCAATTTCCCTTTAATATACTTGAAATGAATGCAGTATACAGTAAATCATTTTTTACCTCAATTATTCAAAGTTTTGGCCGAAACACCTTTTGTAGTAGAGGCTTCATATTTATGTGTAACCTTATGAATAAAAAGGTGCACATTCTAATAAATAAAATTGTTATTACTCTTATTATTGTTGTTGTAGACAGATTTACGAAAAGACCGGGTGGATAAGAAACCAATACTTCGGCCGTCATGCTCTATTTTAAGAGAGAATTCGCCAAAAAGAAATTGGCCAGTGTGATATTTTCAAACACCTATAATGTCTTTTCTTCGGATGATGGAGCCATCGTCTTTGTAGGTCCCTGAAACATGGCATCAGACACAAACACAATAAATTTATCATAACATGGCAGCTGTCAGGATATCTGGTTGGAAACTGTAGTGCAGAGGATTTCATTAAAAAAAAACAAAGAGTTGTGTGATGGTAGTGTGGTCATTGGTAACCTGCTTGCATACTAAGCTTTCGTCGTCTGGTCATTGGTGACCTTGACCAGACCACACACTAGAAGGTGAAGGGACGACGTTTCGGTCCGTCCTCGACCATTCTCAATCGAATTGAAAAACGTCGTCGTCCCTTCACCTTCTAGTGTGTGGTCTGGTCAAATTACTTCAGCCACGTTATTGTGACATATCGCCTGCATTGGTGACCTGCTTGCATATTAAGCTTTGGTGGTATGATAATTGGAGGCCTGGGTCCCGGTAGTGCAGTCTGATTCATTCTCGACTTACAATCGAGAAATCACAGTTCTAATTCCGGGTGGAACAGAAATGGTTGGCCACGTTTCGTATCACGTAATGTACCTGTTCACCAAGCAGTAAATAGGTACCCAAGAGCTAATCAGCTTGTTGTGGGGATGCATCCTGAGGATGGACAGGGGGGGGGGTCAGTAATTCGACCTTGGGGAGGAGGGACTTTGATATAAGCCTAACATGTATATATACACTGGCTGCTTGTCCTCCAATGAATTTTAAACTATTAGCCCAAGCTATGGAAGTAGGGTTAATAAATGTGGGAAGAAATAACTCACCGGCGCCAGTACGCGAAGAACCTCACGAAGGATCTGGTCGGCGTTGTCCACACTGCAGAGGACGAGCGTCATCACCACCACGTCCACACTGTTGTCTCCGATCATCTCCATGTTGTCGCCTGAGGAAGTACATCACACTAGCATGATCAGGGTGTTGCACCAGTGTTACTGTGTGGAGTCTTGTCCCAGACTCCCAGTACTAGTAAGAGTGTGCAGTGAGGAGGGCGTTGCCCCCCGGTGTTGCTGTGACGGAAGGAACATACTGACCACATGACCTTGAAGAGGGGTTCGTAGAATTATCAAAATCTACCTAAAACATCTTGCATTTCCTTTATATTACCATAATCCTAGGATGTTTTCTGCTTATAATGTTGGTGTTGAATGTAACACGAGGAAAAACGCAGTTTTACTAGAAAATCTGTTAATTTAATAATGAAATAAGAGGGAAATGTGTGGCAGGCCGAGGCTTGCCATTCGCTTATCAAACAACATTACTGCATGTCCGACTGTAAGGGTCGTATGCTTGAGTGAAAATTGATTTTTTTTATATCTAAATGCGTTAAAATTGCTTTGAGGTATGGCAACAGTCTGATGCAAACCTTGTGTCTTTCTAATAAATACTAACGTAATTATGGATAAAATTCCAACCCGCCCCCCACCCCAAACCTACTAACCTCGGGTCAAGATGACTCTGGACATCATCTTGTTTGGATAATTTTTTTTTTATTATTTTCTACCACAAACATGGCCACACATTTACAATGCTAACCAGCATATATACATTTTCTTCTGTCCTCCATGGACAGGGTTAGAGATGTGTTAAATATATAGTTCAGGGGTTTGTTGAACAATCAACCACAGGTGATTCGGTGCTTTTAAAATGCTAAATGTTGGGGGTAATATGTAATTTTGTCCAAACATCCCATTTTTATGTAATAAATTATTTTCTTGTGTTTTATGTATATTTCTGGTGTTCACTATAACAACCCAATGGGCGTGAGAGTTGTCTTCAGTGTTGGCCAAGCGCCTGGAGGGGAAGGGCGTGCTATCGTATCGTGCCACATTTTATTGATGTTATTTATTCCTGCATACCTCGTTTGTTTATTTGAACTCTATTAACAATGACTGTGTATTGTAAATATGTACCGTGGAAGGTAAGCTCAACGTCACGTTAGCAGAGAAAGGTTTCCTGCTAACGTGATGATGAGCTCACCTTCCATATTTACAATATGGAATGTTTCAGAGACATTGTCTCTGAAACATTGTAAAATATTGTTTCTTGGAAACAACATTACTGATAAACCCATATCCCAACTGACGTAAATTGAGGGCCATAAACCTGCTCCGGCCCCGGCCATGGACCGGCTCTGGCCCCGGCCATGGACCGGCTCTGGCCCCGGCCATGGACCGGCTCTGGCCCCGGCCATGGACCGGCTCTGGCCCCGGCTACGGACCGGCTCTGGCCCCGGCCATGGACCGGCTCTGGCCCCGGTCACGGACCGGCTCTGTCCCCGGCCATGGACCGGCTCTGGCCCGGCCATGGACCGGCTCTGGCCCCGGCTACGGACCGGCTCTGCCCCCGGCCATGGACCGGCTCTGGCCCCGGCTACGGACCGGCTCTGTCCCCGGCCATGGACCGGCTCTGGCCCCGGCTACGGACCGGCTCTGTCCCCGGCCATGGACCGGCTCTGGCCCCGGCTACGGACCGGCTCTGGCCCCGGCTACGGACCGGCTCTGTCCCCGGCCATGGACCGGCTCTGGCCCCGGCTACGGACCGGCTCTGTCCCCGGCCATGGACCGGCTCTGGCCCCGGCCATGGACCGGCTCTGGCCCCGGCCACGGACCGGCTCTGGCCCCGGCCACGGACCGGCTCTGGCCCCGGCCACGGACCGGCTCTGGCCCCGGCCATGGACCGGCTCTGGCCCCGGTCACGGACCGACTCTGGCCCCGGTCACGGACCGACTCTGGCCCCGGCCATGGACCGGCTCTGTCCCCGGCCATGGACCGGCTCTGGCCCCGGCCATGGACCGGCTCTGGCCCCGGCCACGGACCGGCTCTGGCCCCGGCCATGGACCGGCTCTGGCCCCGGTCACGGACCGGCTCTGTCCCCGGCCATGGACCGGCTCTGGCCCCGGCCATGGACCGGCTCTGGCCCCGGCCATGGACCGGCTCTGGCCCCGGCCATGGACCGGCTCTGGCCCCGGCCATGGACCGGCTCTGGCCCCGGCCATGGACCGGCTCTGGCCCCGGCCATGGACCAGCTCTGGCCCGGCCATGGACCGGCTCTGGCCCCGGCCACGGACCGGCTCTGGCCCCGGCCATGGACCGGCTCTGGCCCCGGTCACGGACCGACTCTGGCCCCGGCCATGGACCGGCTCTGTCCCCGGCCATGGACCAGCTCTGGCCCGGCCATGGACCGGCTCTGGCCCCGGCTACGGACCGGCTCTGGCCCCGGCCATGGACCGGCTCTGGCCCCGGCCATGGACCGGCTCTGGCCCCGGCCATGGACCGGCTCTGGCCCCGGCTACGGACCTGTGGTACAGAGGTATTATGAATTCTAAACTAAATAATCACGCTTTGTAAGCAAACTAGATTTGTTGCTTGCTTCCAATGAAGTAATGTAATAAATTTGTATAAATTTTAACCTGTTTATTTTTTGTATTGGCCTCTTATGACCAGTTGTTTGGAATGCCTATTATATATACTTATGACATCTGGATTTTCAGTGTTGGAAGTATAATGAAATGATCAATGCCTTCCGTAAGCACATTGTATTCTGTAGTTCGTGGTGTAGTGTCCTTCAGAGAAGAATGTTACCTTTATGTATCACGTGAGAAGGCGGAAACACGTTCATGTATCACGTGAGAAAGCAGAAACACGTTCATGTATCACGTGAGAAAGCAGAAACACGCTCATGTATCACGTGAGAAAGCAGAAACACGCTCATGTATCACGTGAGAAGGCAGAAACACGCTCATGTATCACGTGAGAAGGCAGAAACACGCTCATGTATTACGTGAGAAAGCAGAAACACGCTCATGTATCACGTGAGAAGGCAGAAACTCGTTCATGTATCACGTGAGGAGGCAGAAATACATGACTGGCTCACTGTGTCGGGACTGGTCCCGTTATTTTAGCAGGGAAATACATTTTTTGATTGTTGGAAATGCCTGTGTTATATTTTGTATAATTTGTTTTAATGTACTTACGTATTTGTAAACGTTTACATCGTTTTGCAAATTGACAGATAAGCCCCATAACTTTAACTTTTTCAAAATCAAAAGATAAACCCATTTGTGGTTTTTGCAGTTGTTCGGATAATCAAGTTAATCAGGTTTGAATTGGTGAAGTCAATTATAATTGTTATTATAATACAAATTAATAAGAATAATACCAATTAGATTATATGATAACTTTGATACATTTCAGTATTAAGTGTGTTTGGCTAATTAATTCCGAGTCAGTTATATGTAATTTGTTAAAATTTTGAAAATGTTATATATTATATAATCCAAAGGTAGCTATATATATAACTGGGGTCCAAAATCCCATCTTTCATTGGATTTAAATAAAACCTTAGATATCTATGAGAAATAAATGCCAATAATATTTACATATAATAATTCTTGCACAGAAGTTTGGGGTTCGAATCCCAAAGGTATTTAGGTTACATTGAACTTGCAGTGATAAGTGGCATTCATTGTACTCTGAATAAATTTTGCTCATATTAAAATGAAGGCAGGTCAGCAGGCTTATACACATCCTATGCTTACCTGATGCTACTATAATCTCGTCAGAGTAAATGTTGGGGAATTTCTTTCTGTTAGCGTCAAAGTATGACTTGAAGTATGGGTTTGGATCCACCACCACCAGCCGGCTGCCGTCAGGGTAGTGGGCCAAGTTGACGCCTGTCAAAACATTAGGCTATCTAATATATTTAAGCAGCAAATAAAATGTGTAAATATACTAGGTACCTATATATATTGTCCACATGAAACCTCCCATTAACAGATCACTCTACTGAACAAACCAAATGAGTCCACTGGATCCTCCCTTCGAAATTTTCATAAAAAAAATATAAAATTTAGATTTAGGAGAGAAACGCAGTAAAAAAATCCTGATTTAAGTTCATCAAATAGAAACATTTGCAAAAATGTGTAAATATTATTTAAAATAATTAATTTATACATTAGAAATAATTTACTAAGTTTATGCTGTATTATAAAGTGTGCAAATGAGTTTTCTATTGGGCATTTTGGATTAGTTTTTCACCGTTTTGGAAATTTTAGTGAGTTTTGTGCTATTTGTCTCCATATTTGAGCGTGTTTCATGCTTTTTTCCACCACATTTCAGCGTGTGTTTTGTGCCATTTTTCCTCCATACTTGAGTGGGTTCTGTGTTATTTTCTCAAAATAGCACAAATAAAGCAACTGTATAGTGAAGTGACATTATATCTTCCGGTCAGCACCACAACACAGACGCCCGGGAGCATGCCATGCGCACACGCCCACCACGACACACATTCCTTGTGTATGTAAGTAAATGGTTTCTGTGTCCGGATAAACATGACAAAACCCTATAGTATTCCATCCAGATATATATAAAGTTGTAAAGCGTCAGATCTAGCTAATAAAAGTGATAAAGATAAACTTATGAAAAATAACAAATAAAGCTGAATCAACATGTCAAATATATGGATATATGTTTGTGCTAGGTATATCTTCAACTGAAACTGAAAACTAAACAAAATCATAAATTAACCGCCATTTGACTGAAATCGTATATTTCAGTGGCAAATTTTATTTTAGTCATTTATAAGTACTATAAATTTCAAGTCGCTAAGATGAGGCATTCCCAGAATAACACAACAAAACACAGATTACATAAAAACCACGATAGAATCCTCAACAATACTTAATTATTTGCTCCAGCAAACATGGGAAAGCTGCTGTAGATATAAAATCACTAAGCTTTCTAATGTGATTATTTGACTACAATAAGACTTGATCAATTTCACCTACCAGTACCAACACCAATTTCGAGGATCTTTATGGCATTCTGTTTGCGAAGTTCTGGGTCGTGGGAGACGACGAAGGAGAGGCTTGCAAAATGGTCTTTCTTCACCTCCTCCAGTTGCACGAACACGTCCTTAGTACACATGTGCATCACGTACGCAAACCATCTGCAAGATCAGGAGGAGGTAGTAGATTCCATGTTGAGATCTCTGTTTACACGAAGAGTAGATTACAAAACGGATTGCAACTGTCGTTAAAAATAGGGAATAGGCTACAAACGAGTTTTTTTATTATTATTATTATTATTATTATTATTATTATTATTATTTTCTACCACAGACGTGGCCATACATTTACAATGCTAACTAGCATATATACATTTTCTTCTGTCCTCCATGGACAGGGTGAGAGATTTGTCAAACATACAGTTCAGAGATTTATTGAACCCAACAACAGAAGGTGATTGTAGTGCTTTTAAAATGTTAGGCTAAGTTACATACGTAAATACATAGATACACACATTTATGAATGCATTAATGTGAATTCATAATGGTGAAATGTAATTCTGATCAGCTTCCACATATACTTTATACACATACACACACATACATACATACATACATTCATATATACATACACAAACATATATTTGTCTCTTTTACTCTGACAGGGTGAGATAGCTGACAGAGAAACTAGTGTGCAATTAAGAACTTAACCACTGAAGGTGATTAAGATGCTTTTACAAGCTCAGGTTATATAGTTACATTACATGGTTAATATAGGGTACAAGTCCAATATATCAAGTGTTCCAGTACTCGTATAGTAGTTACAGAGTTCAGCATACCTCAGCCCAGGAGGGCGAAAGTCAGCCAGTATCTCTTATCTTGTAGTTGAGATCTTCAACTACAAGAATGACCCTGGGGACCTCCTGAGGTTCGGCCATTGTAGTTTTTTTATTATTTTCTACTACAGATGTGACCACACATTTATAATGCTAACCAACATACATACATTTTCTTCTGTCCTACACAGACAGTGCTAGAGACCTGTTGAACATATAGTTCAGTGAGTTATTGAACAATCAACCATAGTTCAGTGATTTATTGAACAATCAACCACAGAAGGTGATTGCAGTGCTTATAAAATGCTAATCTAACCTACATACATAAATACACAGATTTACGTCTGCTCTACATATAGTGTTCGATATGTCTTTTTACAATGTGCGTTTAAAAAGGTGAAATGCAATTCTGACCAGCTTCCACATATCCTGTATACAAATACATACATACACACATACAAATATATACATATATACACACACATTTATGTCTCTCCTACTTTGACAGGGTAAGGTAGCTGCTATATAAAACTAGTGTTATTTATCATTTAACCACTGAAGGTGATTAGGGTGCTTTTACAAGCTCAGGTTATAGTTATGTTACAAACATTGTATAACTGATGCATCACATTGTCTTTGGTACAAGTCCAATATATCATAAAGTGTTCCAGTATTCATACAGAGTTCAGCATACCTCAGCCCAGGATGGCGAAAGTCAGTCAATTTGGGACATTCTACAATACAATGTTCAAGGGAGTGCATGTTTTCTCTTTCACAAAGTTGACAAGTGGTGTATTCGACAGAAGTTCTTTCTAACGTTTCTGTGGCTCATTTGGGTACCAAGTTTCCACCTGTGTCCTCTTGTTCGCGTTCCACCCGTGCTGAACAGTTTATCTTTATCTTTATTTGTGTGTGTATATTTGCTGGTGGGCGACCACATTTGCAGGTATTGAATATGTATTCACACACACACACACACACACAGGAAGCAGCCCGTAGCAGCTGTCTAACTCCCAGATACCTGTTTACTGCTAGGTGAACAGGACCATCAAGGTGAAAGAAACTCTGCCCATTTGTTTCCGCCATCGCCGGGGATCGATCCCCGGTCCCTACGACTACGATTCCCGAATGCTGTCCACTCAGCCACCAACCCCCCCCCCCGATTTGAATTTCGAGGGAGTTTATATGTTCAACCCGTCCTGTTAATACAATGTCGCATTTGCACGGATACTCTAAGGGTCAAAATTGCCGTACTAGAAAATGGTAGCGGCTCGCGAAATTTACATACTGTGTCGTTTTCTGTTTTAGGGCCTCTGGTAGGTTAGGATAAGGGCACTTTAGTACAACAGGGTCATGACGGTGAGGAACCTTATGAGGAAGGGCTGATATGTTTACAGGCGTCCGATCTTAGGTAAGTGTGCATACGTACGCATGTTCCTGGTTGTGGAAATGTCGTTTTCAAAAGTAATTATAAAGTCTGGGCAGAAAGTGCAGACTTGACATTAAAACAAATTACTATATTAATCATCCATGGCCTCTGCCGTCTAGAGTCAACAAGAGTGAATGGCTCGCCTAACCTGATTATTTACATCCTTTCCCCAGGTACATCAGTAAAATGGCCACCATGTATTCAGTACCATATTTTCACTTCCTTCAGCTCTTTTCAAACACACCTGCTACACACCTGTGAAACCTGGCTGTGTGCCAGATTTGTGTCCAAGAGGGCTGATGAGATGTGACAACATGGCAAGGCATGCGTGTTCATACACTGGGTGGAAGCGTAAGGACTGGGCAAAGTATTTACTCCTCAACTTCGTCACTATATAAACAAACCCAATTCCAACCCACAAATTCTAACAAAAAATAGGATATCAAATTTTATATATGGTGTGCACAGAAATCCTGAAATTCTACATAAACTTCAGGCCAAAGATCAAACAATTGAAATTAAACATTACTGTAGGCTAGGTAGGCTTCACAGTAAAATACATTGGCCAGCGAGTTATTTTCATGAACATCAATACGGTTAAATATATACTGGCAGAAAACAAGACAGCTGAGCAAACCACACACTAGAAGGTGAAGGGACGACGACGTTTCGGTCCGTCCTGGACCATTCTCAAGCCATTCTCACAATCGACTTGAGAATGGTCCAGGACGGACCGAAACGTCGTCGTCCCTTCACCTTCTTGTGTGTGGTTTGCTCAGCTGTCTTGTTTTCTGCCAGTATATATTTAACCGTATTGATGTTCATAAAAATAACTCGCTGGCCAATGTATTTTACTGTGAAGCCTACCTAGCCTACAGTAATGTTTAATTTCAATTGTTTGATCTTTGGCCTGAAGTTTATGTAGAATTTCAGGATTTCTGTGCACACCATATATAAAATTTGATCTACTATTTTTGTTAGATTTTGTGGGTTGGAATTGGGTTTGTTGAGATACGAAGGGACGTACACTGCAGTATTAATTAGACAGGATTTGTCTACGAAGGACAGGGAAGCAGCAAAGAGGTAAATGTGGATTCCCGAGAGTTATACGGTTTGTTATCTTTATTTTTCTTAATTATACATTTGTATTTGCATATAGTTAGGTTACTTTGTGATGGCGGTGTTTAGGTTTAGACGACCTCGATAACTTTCAAACTCTGCCAAAATGTGAACATTGATGCGTCACTGTGAGTGAGGCGTCTCCCAACATGACCACTCGTGCAGGCATCGGCAACACGAACCTTCAGCAACTGTACGCATCGCGAAGAAGGGATTTGAGCTGGTTTCAATTTTGCATCTGTAATTAAGCCGTTTGTTTTCAGAGCTGTGTTATTACTTGTCCAGTTTGTCATGCTTTCCTTGTATGTTAATGCCTTGTAAATGTTAAGTGTTTACCTTGCACCATTTTTATATGCAGGTGGCAGACTGTGCTAATGCTTTTGTGTGTATTACTGCCGTATTATTTTACTGCCATTGTTCTGTATATTGTGCTTCTGTACACTGAGCGGATACTGTGTGGTTATGGTGTTCATGTTTTTCAAATTTGAAGTACTCGCCTAGTTGTGCTTGCGGGGGTTCAGCTTGGGCTCTTTAGTCCCGCCTCTCAACTGTCAATCAACTTGTGTAGATTCCTGAGCCTATTGGGCTCTATCATAATTAATCTGAAACTGTATTGAGTCTGCCTCCACCACATCAGTGCCTAATGCATTCCATTTGTTAACTACTCTTACACTGAATTTTTTTTCTAATGTGTCTTTATAGCTCATTTAGGAATTCGGTTTCCACCTGTGTCCCCTTGTTCGTGTTCCACCGATGATAATTGCTTATCTTTGTCCACCCTGTCAATTCCTCTGAGAATTTTGTAGGTGACGATCATGTCTTCCAGGAACGTGAGGTTTAGTTCCCGTAGCCTTTGTTTGTAACTTTTACCTCTCAGTTCTGGGACTAGTCTGGTGGCATACCTCTAAATCTCTGTGCACTGTGTTTGAGTTTGGGTTTACTATGTTGATTTCTGATTCGTGGATTTTGTTTGTGTATACGATGTATTTTTTGTAAAAATTGTGCACAAAGACAAAACAGGAACATTAAAATTAGCTGTCATGTATTAATGCTAGTTTGTAGTAATGTGTTTTGTGATACTGTGTTGATTAATATGTTCTTTCATTGGCTTGTTCATTCAGGGGCTGCTTGTGTATTGTTCCCCTCGTATATGTTTCCATCTGTGTGTCTGGAATTGGTGATTCAGTTTATTTAATTTATTTGTAAATATATTGTGTGCTTTTAAAAATGCCGAAAATTTAATAAAGAATATTTGAATCAAATTACATATAACAGCGATCTATATCATCGACTCACATATCGAGGGACTTGGGTTCAATCCCCTAGGCAAGACAAACGTTTGGGCAAGTTTTCATTCACCTGATGCTTCTGTTCACCTAGAAATATATATGTTCTCAGAAGTTAAACAACTCCATCCTGGAGGTCAGCAGTTGGACTAGAGCCCTATACGGGGACTTCGATAATCCTAAGTACAGGCTTCCTGTCCCCGGCGAGGTTATCTTGAGATGATTTCGGGGCTTAGCGTCCCTGCGGCCCGGTCATCGACCAGGCCTCGTCTTTGTCACACACTCAAAGGTAGCAGCCCGTAGTAGCAGTCTAACTCCCAGGTACCTATTTACTGTTAGGTGAACACGGGCATCAGGGTGAAAGAAATTCTGCCCATTTGTTTCCGCTTCCACCGGGAATCGAACCCGGAACCTCAGGACTACGAATCCCGAGCGCTGTCCACTCGGCTGTCAGGCGACGGGAATTATACACAAACATCGGAGTGCTTGGTCACTGGTTTTATCAACATGAATTTATATTTATGCATCCATCAGTTGTAAAAAACATACATTTATACTACAGATGTCTGTCCAGAGAAGGCCAGATGCCCCGGGGCGCGCCACACACAGCTGGCACACAGGAATGACAGGGGGGGGGGGCCAGGCCGGCTACGGTCGGCCCAAGTCTCATACTTTAAGAAATATCTGCATCTTAAGCCTCCCCTCATCAATGTTCATGAAATCTGAAATATAATGGAAGGAGAGGGGGGGAGATGGAAGGAGAGGGGGGGGAGATGAGAGATGAGAAAGCGTAAATGGGGTACCCAGGTACATCCAGGTAACCCACCAATTATAAAATGCACATAAGATATATATCAACGAATTTAAGCGTTCGTTTAAAATAAATGTGAAAACTGAACCAGAAACAAATGTCAAGTACTTACACTAATACTAATTAACACGCACACACACATATGATTATATATATATATATATATATATTATATATATATATATATATATATATATATATATATATATATATATATATATAAATAATAGGGGTGGTAGGAGAGGAAAAGATTAAAGTATTCAGTGAGAATCCACAAGATCTTCTCTGAACACTATTTATTTTCTTCTTCGAGGATGTGGGTCCCTTTAATTAAACCAGTGGTGGTACCCCTAAATATATTATATATATATATATATATATATATATATATATATATATATATATATATATATATATATATATATATATATATATATATATATATAAACATTTTTCAAGACACTGTATGCACCACAACCTCCAACTAGTCGCATCAAAGGCCAGCAGTACTTGCGCAAGTCAACTCACCTGCGTTGTGTTCCGAAGATAATTTTCTTGAGAAGCCAGAGCACGGCGAGGATGGTGATGATGGTTGTGAGGTCATCACCACGCCACCACGTCAAGGTCAAGCGGTCGTTCTCGTCGTCGTCGCCTTCACTGAGGTCCTCCTCCTGAACCATGTTGATCTGTTCAGAAGCCGTCTCCATGCTCCTCTAACCTGTCTTACGGTGAAAGGTTCGTATTCTCTGATCACGGCGATGTCAAGACGTGCGCGTTGTGGTTATATATTCCAACAAACCACAAAATGTTCTTGAATAAAAGTCAGATGCAAGAAGGTTACGAGGCGAGTACACAGCACCACACACACAGCGCCCGGGCGTCGCAGCCACACTGTCGCTCATGTCACCGCCGGGCCTCCACCACCACCTTCATCACAGTTGCCATTTGCTCCATATACTACACTCATGTTTTTCCCGTTTAATTTAAATTTAATTAATTTTCCCCCGGGGGGAAGTTTATTGGGCAGCGCCACTCATCCTGTGAGTGGACACACGGACAAGGCAGCATGTACTACACTCCCCAATAGGAAGAAAACCCGCTGGGTTTGTTAATTTCTTGTTTCGTGTTGGGCTTAAGACCAATCAACTTTTTCCTTATTAAGTTATGTACAATACAATGTGATATATACAGTACATTATTTTCAACCTGTCCTCAGGCTAGGCATTTACAGCCTTGTGATTTGAAAAGTCGTCAGCGAAGCACTGCTTGAGAAGCATTAGTTTAGTTCATTTATTATGCACCTCATACCCATCATGTGAGCGGTAGTGGAAAGGGTTACAGAGGTACATAATGGGCTCAGGGACTGAACCCCGCAATTCTTTTAGCTAAGCAAGTTACAATCTTGATGAGCTAGTTACTAAATTCAGTATAAGTCGTCACATCAACAATGGGTTCGAGATCGACCACTCGAACGTTTTCATTTGTGAAGCAACCCATCCTTGACTCAAGTCCATTACATCCAGCGGTGGACCCCACAGACGCATTCATAAATTTGTACATGCTGTTCATTCAAAACAGGAATTTTCTCAAATATAAATTAATATTATAATATTTTCGCATATTGTGCATATATAGGCATAGGTTAGGTTAAGTGTTTAGGTTCTGTTGGTGATTATTTGTATTTGTAGAACGTGTGTGAAGCATTTACAGCGTTGTGGTTCGAACAAAATTCGTCAGTGAAGCACTTGTTCCGGATATGTTCGAACGTCAGCAGTTGTGAGTCGTGTGTAAACCGCTTTTCATTCATAAACAGGGGGTTTGGCGGGTGCATGGAATCACTTTTGGATCTTTGTTTGGAGGATGGGCTGTTTACAGCGTTGTAGTTCGAAAAAAATTCGTCTGTGAAGCACTTGTACCGGAAGTGTTCGAACGTCAGCAGTTGTGAGTCGTGCATAAACCGTTTTTCATTCATAAACAGGGGGTTTGGCGGGTGCATGGAATCACTCTTGGATCTTTGTTTGGAAGACGGGCTGGAGGATGGCCTGGTGGGTGAATCATTGTGGTTCGAACAAAAGTCGTCAGTGAAGCACTTGCTCGAACGTCGTAAATACTGAGTCGTGTGTAACAGCCCGTCCTCACATACAAATATCCAAGTTCGTTAATCCAGCCGCCAAACCCCCTGTTCATGAATGAAAAGCAGTTTACCCACGACTCACAACTGTTGACGTCCGAACACTTCCGGAACAAGTGCTTTGCTCACATACTCTGTTCGAACTACAATTCTATAAATGTTTCACCCACATACTTCAACAGCCCGTCCTCTAAACAAAGGCCCAAAGTCCATTCCCAGCCCGTCCTCCAAACAAAGACCCAAAAGTGATTCCATGCACCCGCCAACCCCTCTGTTTATGAATGAAAAATGGTTTACACACGACTCACAGCTCAAGACGTCCGAACACTTCCGGAACAAGCGCTTCGCTGACGACTTTTGTTCGAACTACAACGCTGTAAATGTTTCACCCACGAACTACACATACAAATAATAGCCAACAGAACCTACCTTGACCTTACCTTGAGATGATTCCGGGGCTTAGCGTCCCCGCGGCCCGGTCCTTGACCAAGCCTCCTCATTGCTGGACTGGTGAACCAGGCTGTTAGTTCTCCCTCATATGGTGATTGGCTCCCTCTCACTGTGATGCCTCCACGCACTTAAATATTGATGGTATTAATAGCATGAAACCACAAGCGCGAGAGTGCTTTAAAATTTCCTGAATTTGCCTGAGAGCCACCATGTATAGTGACGGGGAACAGGAAGCCGACATCTTGTCAAATGTCTCCATTATTCCTTAGTTCTTCCAGTTGAATTTTGATGGAATAATCTTGGTATTTACGGCTTCGGCGGGTAGGCGGTTCCAGGGGTTTATTACCCAATTAGTACTCACCTAGTTGTGCTTGCGGGGATTGAGCTTTGGCTCTTTGGTTCCACCTCGACTGTCAATCAACTGGTGTACAGATTCTGGAGCCTACTGCGCTCTATCAAATCCACATTTGAAACTATGTAAGAAGTTAGCCTCCACCACACTGCCAAATGCATTTCATTTGTTAACTACTCTGACACCGAAAAAATTATTTATAATGTCTCTGTGGCTCATTTTGGTACTAAGTTTCCACATGTGTTCCCTCGTTCCTGTTTTCTCCCTATGTTAAATAGTTTGTCTTTGTCCACCCCTGTCAATTCCACTGAGAATTTTGTAGGTGGTTATCATGTCTCCCCTTACTCTTCTGTCTTCCAGGGACTTGAGATTTAGCTACCGTAGCCTTTTCTCGTAGCTCATGCCTCTCAGTTCTGGGATTAATCTGGTGACATACCTCTGAATATTCTCTAACTTTGTCTTGTGTTTAACTAGGTATGGACTCCAGGTTGGAGTTGCATACTCTAGAATTGGTCTGACATAAGTGGTATATAGGGTCCAGAACGGTTTCTTACACAAGTTTCTAAATGCAGTGCTTATGTTTCCCAATCTAGCATATGCCACTGATGATATCGTTTTGATGTGGGCCTCTGGGGACAGGTTCGGTGTGATATCAACTCCAAGATCTTTCTCTCTATTTGACTCTTGCAGGATTTCACCTCCCTGATGGTATCCTGTGTTCAGCCTCCTGCTCCCTTCGCCTAATTTCATTATTTTATACTTTCCTGAGTTAAACTTTAGTAGCCATTTTCCAAACCATTCCTCCAGTTTGTCCAGGTCGTCCTGTAGTCTCTGTTTATCTTCATCTTTTTTTATTCTTCTCATAAGTTTTGCATCATCGGTCGTCTCAAAGGTTGGGGAAAATAATCTCCTGTTGTCTTTTATTGTTGAACTTGAAGCTGTTGCTTCTTGTGTGAGTTACATTGTATTTGTTAAGGAAGTGATCTGGCTTAATGTCTACCAATCTGTACAGTATGTTAAAGGTCTCGATGAGATCAACCGTGTCGTATCTGGTCTGCTCTGTTGACAGTCCTGAGGCCATCAACCTTTCCTGGTGAGTTGACCGGTCTGGGATGATTTGTGTCACTTTGCGTTTAACTTTTTACAAAGTAGATATGATCTTTTGTTTAAGTTTAGCTTCCAACACCACCACACAGCCGTACACCAGACCTTGGGAACCTGGAAGGAGCCTTAAGTGGAGCGCCTAACTCCCTCACACATTACGGGCTCACCATAGCCCGTGCTACATAGACACTTCGTTCTGAGTAGCTAAATCTAAAACAACAACATCCCTCACAGAAATCTTAGGTGAGGTTTAGGTGGAGCGCACCATAGACTTGTACAATTGTATAATCACTGTTTTACAGATAAAGGTTTGTTTGAGTATTCAACTTTCAATGATTGCTGGATTAAATAGGTCCTTTTCTTGATCAAAATGCTGCAATCCACAGTGCCTATGTACATGCGCTTTGTTTTATCTTGTCCTTAAAGGCCTATTACTTTCCATATGACTTCTCTCAGTTTAAAGTACACACACTTATGTGAGCGTCCACTAGCTATTTCAGGTGTGCAACTTATACAAATATATTTATTTATTTTTTATTCACATACAAGAAGGTACATTGGGTTTATGAGGGTACAGAGCATTAAAGTTTCACATTCTTGTAAAGCCACTAGCACGCATAGCGTTTCGGGCAGATCCTTAATCTAACATAATTTTAAGAAAATAATTTCTAGCAAAATTATAAAAACATTTTTACATGTACATTGTAAGAGTATAAAAAATACAATGCATAAGTATAAAAAATACAATGTATAAGAAATTTGTCAGAAAAAAAGTAGGTACATTAAAGTAAATTTAAAGGTTATCCACAGGTACATTTTAGCATAATTTGAGGATTATTGCAAGATGTAATGTAGCAAATTATGTGTGTATAACATGATATAAGATAACAACAATGATTACAAAGGGAAAGTTGTATGGCATAGGTACATATATTGGGGAATTGGGTAGCACTAGATACAGTGCGAGTTTCAAGCACAAGGTAGGAAACTATGAAGATTAAATTAGGTAATTTTTGGTTTTATTTTTGAATAAGACAAAAGTGTGACAGCTTTTCAATTCGCTCTCCACATATGTCAGTTGCTTAATTTAGAACCTGTACTTGAGGTCGATCTCGAACCCATTGTTGATGTGACGACTTATATTGAATTTTGTAACTAGCTCATCAAGATTGTAACTTGCTTAGCTAAATGAATTGTGGGGTTCAGTCCCTGAGCCCATTATATGCCTCTGTAACCCTTTCCACTACCGCCCACAAGATGGGTATGGGGTGCATAATAAATGAACTAGACTAACTAAACTACCTTGCATGGAATAGAATTAGTCAGTTGTTGTGGGTTGCATCACGCGGAATGGCATAAGGGACGCATCAGTACAGCCTAACAGTTTTCCTGTTCCAGAAAACGTAAAACCAAGCAAACCAAAAGTCCGAAATATTTAAGGACTTTTGGTCTTTGTGGTCTTCGTGGCGTAGTGGTAAGACGCTCGCCTGGCGTTCCGCGAGCGCTTTGTCCTGGGTTCGTATCCTGGCCAGGGAGGATTTATTGGGCGCAAATCCTTAACTGTAGCCTGTGTTTAACTCAACAGTAAAATGGGCACTTGGTTGTAAAAGTTGTAAAAACGATTCTTCGCGGGGGTCGTATTCCAGGGACCATAGGATTAAGGACTTGCCCGAAACGCTACGCGTACTAGTGGCTGTACAAGAATGTAAGAACTCTTGTATATATAAATAAAATAAGTAAATAAATAAATAAGTAAATAACAAGGTTTTTAGTGAATTATTTGAGTTACTCCAGGAACTGGCTGAGGAGTAACGACTCTCTTATGACTTAATCTTAGAAAACGGAAGAGTTTGGGAATAAGGGAAACTTGCATAAA